GTTTTTATTACTGTAGCTCTGTAGTGCAACTTAAAATTGGGGATGGTGATATATCCTGCAGGGGTTTTTTTTATTATTATTATTCAGGATTGTTTTAGCTATCTTGGGTTTTTTGTGTTTAAATTTTTAAAAATTAGTTATTTTTAAAATACAAAATCAGAAGTCTAGGGGTACAGCTCAATAGTAGAGCACTTCCGTAGAAAGAGCCAGACACTGGATTCCATCCCCAGCACCACAAATGATATTACTAGGGATAAAAGTCATTTCATAATGACAAAAGGGTCATTCCAGTAAGAGGGCGTAATAATCCTAAATGTTCACATGAGTTCAAGTCTCCAGCACCTATGTTAAAAGCTGGGCATGGCTTCTCACTGGTGCTGTAGGGGGTAGAAGCAGGCATTTGCTGCAGCTTGCTGGCTGCCAGCCTAGTTCCAGGTTCTGTAGGAGACCCTGCATCCAGGGAATAAGGTGGAGAGTGACGGAGCAGGGCACGACACACGGTGTCTTTGTCTGGCTTCTGCATGTGTTCTCATGGTGCACAGATACACTATACACAGTCACACACACACACACACACACACACACAAATGATATATGCATAGAAAATTATATTTACAATATATATTAATATGAAGCAAAAAGTGATGGAACTACAACAGGAAAAGAAATGCACAGTTAGAAGTTAGTATCTTTCTCTTAACAAATAGAAAAATAGCCCAAAACCCAGAATAAATAGTATGGAAAGTAGTATATTGGTTTATCTTTAAAAGCTACACTGAAGAATACTATTAACAAACTTGACATGGCGTTATTTGTAGAGCTCTCCACTGCCCAGTACTGTACGCATCCTTCTCATGTGCACATGAAGCATTTACCAAAATGGACCATAGTTTGTGTTACAAATTTGAAAGGATTTGAGGCATACGAAGTATTTTCTCTGACCACAGTAGAATTAAATTCAGTCATTAACAGAAATATCACAGTATTTTGAAACCAAACAAACATTGAATCTGCCTTGAGCCGCTATGCTCTGTAGGCATGTGGGGAGACAGGTTTGATGGAAGACCATAGAACCACAGAGTCCAGGAGCAGTGGCATGCCTGTCTGCCCTCTGTGCCAGTGCTGATTTGGTGTGTTGCTTCGGAAGCTGTTTTGTTTGCTTGTCTCTCTTTATCATTTTTTATTAGTGTGCAAAATAACAGGTTACATTATGGCAGTTCATACTTCTATTATCACTGTGCTTTTCTCTCAGCCTACTTCTCAGTCTAAACGTTGGGGAATAATGGTTTTCAACAGTATCTGATCTTTCCATTTGGAAAACAGTACACTTTCTTTTTAGGAGATATATTTTCACAAATGGTCTGAGTACTGTCAAATAGAAATGACTGGTCTGGCTCCTGGTTTGGTGTCTAAAGCTGATTTGAAAGATGCTGGATATTGTTGAGTAACAGGCAGTTATGTGATCACATGGGAACTGTCTCCATGGACAACAAAGAATAACAAAGTCAGCCACAAAAATTCCACTTTGAAAGTAGTGAAAAGACAGTACATTGTTCATCAATATTAGATACAGACTGTATGAAATACCAGTAATGTGTTTCAGTAACAAACTCAACAGGTATTCCAGAAGCAATTTCTAGAGTGCTCTGGAGTCACCAGGAAGCCTTTAGCAAGGATGTGGGTTGAACCAGGAGAGGATACAGATGAGTGGGAAAAAAATTAAACCTAGGCTTTGTACACAGGTTTTACTTTGTGTACTTGTATAATACATATACTTTTTTTTTTTAGAAATCTTTCCCCCACAGTTGCTAGAAATAACTGAGTTATTACATATAAAATAATTTGTGCTTTATTTGAACCCCATCAGAAGAAGAATTTGTTTTGTACAAAACTTGTCCTGCCATCTAAGCTACTTTACAGTTTATATAAAAACAGCCATACACTTGGCCTGAATTCATCTTTTCAATGTTAAGTACTATATTAACTAAATCACTGTGACCATAGGCTTATCATTTCATCCGGACTAAGTCAGATCATGCAGGAATCGACAGCTTTGTGCCATGGTGACACCTTGTCACAGCATCCCTGAAGCGAATCATTTTACTTGTCTTTCTCAGCTTGTGCAAATTGAAATGCAAACTGGTAATGGTCAGTCTCTCTTCTCCTGTCTGCCTGTAGTGCTTCTCTTCCTGTTTCCCTTCAGCCCTTTGATTTTCTCCCTCCTTTTCCTGTAATGGTCCAAGGGTGCGAGGATCTCACGTCTGCTCAGGCAAGGTGTCACCTTTCTTCTGAAAGATGCTCTTTGTTTCATCTACATCAAGGGACCCAGCCAATCTCCTACGAGACCTCCTCTCTATAGACAAAACTAAGGAAATTCCTTCTACAAAAGCTTCTTCCAAAGTCCTTCTGTCATCTAATTTATAGTCTAGCCTGTCCCACCAACTTTATGTACCTAATTACTCTCCAATTTTGAGTAATCAGCCCCCATTTGAAAAGATATAGTCTGTCCTAAAATATTTACTGGATATACCAATTAACCACACAGGTTGGTTTCTTTTCAATTTTACCACTTGATAGTTTAGCGCCCTGGTAGACATTTCATCCCAGGGTACTCCAAAAATGTTCAAGGCTCTGAAGATATAGTTTAGTAGCAGAGCTCTTTCTAGCTCACATGAAGTCCTTGCTTCAACCTCCAGCCCTAGTGCAAGGCGAGAAGAGTGGGAAGGGGGAGGGGGGGTGGACAGGGAGAGAAAAGAAAAACATAGGGAAAAAAATAGTGTCTGGGCAACTTATAAACTCTTAACACTTAAAGTTCTGCCTTTAACTTTCCAAACATTTTGGACAGAGTTTCTTCCTTGCAGGTGTTCTTGACTTACCCACCCCAGTTCTGCTGGAGCACAGTAGTCAAACAGGGAAAGAGTGGAAGTCAGGATGGAGAAAGCCAAGAGATGCTTCTGGCCAGAGTTCTGGCCAGGGGAAAGCAGGCTGGAATCCAGCCTGTGCTGTGTTTACCAAGCACACACCCAGTGTGAGACGTTTTCGTCTAAGGAAAGGGGCACCTTGACAGTCCACACAAAGGTGTCCTGTAGGCTGGTCGTGTCCTAGCAAAAAGTTCATGGGAGGAGTTTTGATTTTTTTTTTTAATTGATGCATTAAGAAACCACTAAGAGAATAAAATAATCTACATTTTGTGAAGAGCACTGTGTCATATGCAGCATGGACTGGGGAAAGGCTGGAGTGGCCTTTGTCAGAGCAGTGGGGAGACAGGTGCAGGAAAATGGGGTAAAGACATCTTTTGTTTGGTGTGGAGAGGAGGGAGTAGCTGAGAAGATGTTAGTGCTGGGTCCAGACAGAGGGAAAGCTGGGGAGAAATAGGCTTTGGGGCAATGTCAAGACTTGCACACCATGCAATTCACTGTGACTTGTCTACCTAGAGGCAGGTGGTCAGGAGCATCTGGTCTTCAGAAAAGTGTTCTTTCCCCTCTGAACAGTTCTGTAGTGTCCCTTCAAGGCCACCAGTGGCCCTCCCCAAACAATGTAGAAATGTATTTTGAGAGAGCCGGAATATCTCCTCTTATTTTGTCTACACTTTGCCATTGAGCAGCCCTGTCCTCCGGGCAGTAAATCCTACTGACCCTGGGACTAGTCTCCTAACTCACTTCATTTAATCTAAAGAGCTTCCGGTAAACTTTGTCAACAAACTTTCTATGTCCTGGTATCTCGGTTTCCGGAATCCCTTGAGAAATTCAGGTGGACCTCTTTCCTTCTCTAAATGACCAGAATCACACAGTCAGACGCAGTCAGGCTTGGCAGTCTCTTCCCAGGTTACCTGGCATTCACCACATCCCATAGACTTCATCATCCTGGCATGGCGCAGTGCAGACCTGGAGCTGATCTGTCGCTAGGATCTCATCTCTGATCTCAGATGCTCAAGTCTCCATGAGTGACTCTGCTACCCATGGGTGTCTTGTCTCTTGCTCTAGTAGGCAGAGCCAACGCCAATAGTTACAAGCCACACTGAGGAAGATGTTGGCTCCAATACAGGAAAAAGTGCTCAATGCTTAGTGCTGTCTGAAATGGAAACTCATGCTGGGGAAGGAGTGAGTTATGGTTTCATGAGGTGTGATGTACTGCAGAACATCCCTCCATGTCCATTCTGTGGTAGAGACGGCAGGGCTGGCATGTGGAGGTAATCTGCACGGACTTGAGTTCTTGCCCATGCTACAGCCGTCCACAGATGCTCTGCCTCACTTAATCCTCATAAAGGCTCCCAAAGGAACCAGTTATAACTCCACCAGGAGAGGTTGTGATCGCACAGCCAGCAAGTGTCAGAGCCAGGACCGGGACTCAGTTCCACCTCAAACTAAAGCCCTTGTTTGTTTTTTTCCACAGTTCACAGGAGCATGCGAGACTGGAGCAGGGATTTCAGTCCTTTCCAGCATTGTGACTCTGTCTGAGTCTCCATGTGGCTGTGGACATCCTTGTCTGTCTTCCCTCTGTTCTTCTAGCCTCGCTGGCACTCAGATGACAGTCTGTGACTCCATACCCCCGCGGTGACCCTCCAACAAGGCAGAGGCATCTGAACCTCCAGCTTTTGTTCCTTTTTCAGCTGAACACAGTCTAACCTCAGCCCCGGGCAAGGGCTTTTGCTTTGTTTTGCCGATACCCCCCAACACCACCTCGCCTCCTGATGAGGACTGAGTTAGCAGTGTAAATGATTAAGCTTTTAGTCATGTTCAGTAATGTGACTCAGCTCTTAGTAGTTCTTAAAACGGTCGTCTCTACTAAATTTCCAGGTTTTAGTTACTAGAATATTTGGCCCAAAGGTCAACTTTGAGGGGCTAATTTCTAAGTTAACATTTTTAATACTAGAAATTTTAGAATACTTTAATTAAAAACTTGATGTTTTGCTGTTTTAAAAACTACAGTCTGAAGATGCATTGACTCTGCTTATTTCGAGGTAAAGTGGCTTTTGTGTGTTTTCACATGCTGTTTTCCAGGCTGAAGCTGAGCTCACCAAGGAAAGAGCCCGGCATCTCCTTGAGCTCCAAGAGCAAGCTCTTCTCTTTAAGGAAGAAGCTAAACTGGAACTTGACATTGAAAAAGAAAAACACCAGGAAGTAATCCGGAAGTACCAGCAAGAACAGGAGAGCCTACAGATGAAGGTCTGTTGCCACTGACCACAAACCTCACGCTCCACTCAGGCTCCCTTTCCACAACTTGACAGTCTGCTCATGGTTACCACAGCTTCGCTCTGCCCACACAGACCAATGGTTTGGTTTACCTGCTTTTCAGAAAGGATGCTGGAGATAAATTACAAAAGCACACAGCCTGTATGCATTTTGTCTTCTGCTGATGTCAACTTACCTTTAAAACTGACGACACTGCATAGCCCATAACTAGCATGGCTACAGAGTCGAATACCAAAAGATAATGAAGTATTTTACAGAATTAAAAATGTCCTTCCTAGGTTTTAATCTTCTTAACTAAAGATATGTGTGGTGGTCTTGTGTTCCACAAAATATTGTGCAAGCTAATAAACTTATCTAGGTCAGAGAAGAGAACAGCCACAATATTAAACATACAGGATAGGCAATGGTAGCACATGCCTTTAATCCTAGCATTCCAGAGGCAGAAATCCCTCTGGATCTCTGTGAGTTCAAGGCCACATTGGAAACAGCCAAGCATTGTGACTCATGCCTTTAATCCGAAGAAGTGAGTCTTAAATCCCAGGGAGTGATGGCAGAAAGCAGAAAGGTATATAAAGAGTGAAGACCAGGAACTAGAAGCATTTGGCTGGTTAAGCTTTTAGGCTTTTGAGCAACAATTCGGCTGAGATTCATTCTGGATGAGGACTGAGAGGCTTCCAGTCTGAGGAAACAGGATCAGCTGAGGAACTGGCAAGGTGAGGAAGTTGTTGTGGCTTGTTCTGCTTCTCTGATCTTCTAGCATTCACCCCAATACCTGGCCTCAGGTTTGATTTTATTAATAAGAACTTTTAAGATTCATGCTACAGATATGTTTAATTTTAATTAATTCTAACGATTTTTGGATGAGGAAAAATACAATAAAAAGTAGTGAGTCTGTTGAAGTGCCCTACTTTGTTTGTTAGTTGTTGATTTTACTTAATTCAGAGACATCCTGCTGCCTCAGCCTCCCAAGGGTTGGGATTACAGAGGTATACCACCAAGTCAGGCAAATTATTCCTGCATTTGTAGGACTGAACTGTAGAGAGGAAAGGAAAAGCGGGAGAGAGAGGCAGAGGGCTAGAGAACGAATCAAAATTTAGTGTGAAGCTGAAAAAGCTCGGTAAGAATCCATACTAGAGCTACTAGATGGCTCAGCAGGGAAGGTCACTCGCCACTGTGCCTCAAACAATGAATTCAACCCCCGGGACCCACATGGTGGAAGTGGGAAACCAACTCCTGTATGATACCCTCTTACCTCCACATACACGCAGTGGAGCACATGCACCTGTACACACACATGCACACGTACATAGGCACACACAAATAGGTAAATGTCACTAATACATAATTTTGAAATTTTTTAAAAATCCAAGTTAGGGGTTAGAGAGATAGCTCTGCATTAAGAACACTTTTGACTGTGATTCAGATCCCAGCACCTACATGATATCTCACAACCCCCTATAACTCCAGTTCCATAGGCTCTAACCCACTCTTCTGCCTTAGGCATGCATGGTGCACGGACAGACAGACATGCAAGCAAAACACTCAGACATAAATAAATAAATAAATCTGAGAAGAAAACTTTAAAAGAATCCATGTTAATAAAGCACCAGACAGCCTAAGAACCTCTGTTTGTGTGAAGACAGACATTTAGCCATTCTGGAGTTCACAGAGGACAAGGAAGACCAGCCACCAGAGCAGATGACACAGTAGTGCCTGACCCCACCCAGAATGCTCTTCAGATGTTCCTGTCTTGAAATTCTTGATGATTTCATCTTTGACTCTGTGGTGGTTTTTTTGTTGTTGTTTTTGTTTTCTCATGAATTCCTATTAACACAATGAAGTATGTGCTGGGAGCTGGAGCCTCGCTCCCCTGATGGGCTAGCCTGTCCTAGCCAGGTCCTCACGTCTTGCTGCACAGATCCTGGCATCAAAGGCCATTTCCCTCCACCCTTCACCTCATGACTGCAGTTGCCCTGAGTAGCTTGGGATTCCATGGGCAGAGGAATGTAAACAAAATGATACCATTACTTAAGAGAAGTCTAAATTCAAATTTCCTAGGAGAAATGTGATTTTTAAATGCTGACTCCCTTTTTAAAATCCAAACATATCTGTGGCTCGGTGAAGCCCCTGTCACGGGGCAGCTTGCTCGGGTTGGTTGTCAGCTCTGCTGGAGGGAGGGAAACCACTGTTCAGACCTAACGGTGACCCTCTTGGGTTAGTTGAAAATAGTAGAATATTAATTTCTGCAATGACTCATGGTGGTGAACAGATTTCTTCCAGCAGTTATTCCTTACGTAAATTTAACATTTGAAACAAATTTTCATACATACTGTTTTTTAAGCAGTGGTCCACAGAGCTCTGGGAACTCGCGTCTGTGGCGTTTCCAGAGTCTCGGTGGCGGGTTTCCTGCTGGACCATAAATAGAGGACTTTAGAGGCGCTCTGCATGCCTGCTCTTCTGTTGTGTTGGTTTTCTGTTTGTTTTCGTTTTTTAAGACAGTAGCTCACACTGGTCTGGCACTCACCATGAAGCCCTGGCTGGCCACAAAGCCATAGTAATTCTCTTGCTTTGGCTGGAATTTCAAGAGTAAGCCACCAAGCTCAACTTTCTGTTTTTTAAGAGAGAGAAAAGTCCTTTCCCTTCTAAAGCCTGCTTTCTTTGAGCAGAAGGTCCCCTGAGTAGTTGTCTCATGTTCTTATGTGAGGAGGAACAGCACATGAGGGCCCTGTCCTGGTATTCTCCAGAATGGTCATGCTGACAGGCTTAGTGGCTGCTTATCCTTCAGTTCGAGTCATTCAGATTTAATACTTACTTCTTCAGTTGTATTGAATGGTCAATTGGCAATGCTCTGTAGCCAGGCCTGGCTTTCCAGAGCCCACTAAGCATGTCTCTTCCCTGCTCAGTCATCAGGGGTGGCAGATTAGCAGTAGTGGCAAAGGGATTTCATCATTGAAATTAGATACAGATCTAACCCAGGGGACTTTTTTTTAAAAAACATTACTGGCACCTCACTATAGAACAATCCAGAATATCTGTGATCACAAGAAGTGGAAGAGCGCTGCTGTAGAAGACAGAGCTAATGTCTGGGGTACATCTGTCCAATATATAAGAAAGAAAAAACGGCGTCAAAGGCAGACTTGCTGTTCTGATATGAGGGGTGTACAACCGGGGTGCTCTCACTGTCTCCAAACATCAGGCAGGCACTCGGAGGGCCCCGAGTCCAGCCAAGCCCTCTCCCATCTGTTTGTGGGAAACTGAGTTGCCTTTGGCAGTTCAATACAGTCACAGAGATTCAAGTATTTCCAAGGGTGCCCAAGTAGTTAATAAGATACCATTTTAGGAAAAAATAAATAAGACTGTGTTGACTTAAAAAAACATCTGAAGGCCTACATATGTCATAGAATTTGCTTTTTATCAGTTAGAAAAGCACACTGGTTTATTAGAAGAAACTTTTGTTTTTGTTGTTGTTGTTGTTGTTGTTTTTGTTTTTTGAGACCAGTTTTCTCTGTGTAGCTTTGCACCTTTCCTGGAACTCACTCTGTGGCCCAGGCTGGCCTCGAACTCACTGAGATCCTTCTGCCTCTGCCTCCCGAGTGCTGGGATTAAAGGCATGTACTGCCACCACCATCGCCCGACTAGAAGAAACTTCTTAACAACAGGAAGATCTCCGCAGTTCCCTGGAAACAGCTGTCTGTTAACTAACATGTGATTTATCTTGCAGATCTCTGACTTAATCGCAGGCGCTACAGAAGACCTGAGGCTGGAAGTGGCCTCCCTCCAAGAAAAGCTCAGCCAAGCCCATGAGCAATACACGAAAGAGTCCGAGTCAAAGGAAAAGGAGATGGAAGACCTGAAAAGTCTGGTTGCAGAACTGGAGTGTCGCTTGAAGCAGGAAAGCGGCCACGAAGATTCGGTTTCAGAGGACTTGAAGAAGGAAGTGAAGCAGAAGGCAGACGAACTGGAAAGAGTCATGCTGGCCCAAACACAGCTGCTGCAACAGTTCAGCCAGTCACAGGAAGAGGTAGGACGCAGATGACCCCAGTGAAGAGCACAGCCATTCAAAAAGCAGACAGACAGACAGACACAAATGAGACAGGCAGTTTGAGGTCAGGAAGAGTCCCCCTGGCTCCATGGCATCCCGTAGTGTGCAGCCATCCACTGGGACACATCAGGGGCCACACCCCTAAGGAAAACTGACTCTCTTTCCCCTAGCAGCCATCAGCTGTCAGCATTGCTTCCCAGGTAGGGGGGGGGGTGGGCTCAGGAGCCCATCCCTGCTCCGTGATGGAGTGCTGACTGGCTTGACCCTGTGTGACTCTTGAATGGCAGCTTCAGCCCCTGAGTCCGTGAGTACAAGGTCTGGTCGTGTCAGTGAGAACCCCTAGTCCTGCCTCTTAGACTCTTTCTGCTCCCTCTTCCACCAAGTTCTGTGAGCCACGGGGCAGTGGTGTGACAGAGATGTCCCATCATGGCTGAGCCTTTTCTGTGAATCAGTTCTGTGTTGCAAATGATCACTTAAAGCTCCAAGACTAGGGGGTCTTTACAGATGACATCCTATTTGCTTTAACATTAAGTCTTTGTCAAAGAAATTTTCAGAGCATATGCTGTTTATGTTTAAAAAAATGGACAATATAAAGATAATTGGACTTTCATGTTTTACAACTGCCAGCCTGGACTTCTGGGGCAGCTTACATGCTTGAGTCTTTGGTCGTATGTGTACACAGTTATTTCAGCAGTGTTTTTAAAATTGAAGTAGACTCATTTTTATTGAGAAATTTTTATCTCTGGATTATCTATGAACTGCTAAACAGTTTAGAAATAGTATAACAATTGTAATATTTGATCCAATTTATGACAATAGAGCATATAAAGACAAATAGTTTTGAATGCTAGCTGAGAAGTAAGGTTTTTGTTGGCCTTACTGGCATCTTAATAAAGAAGTAAATGGAAAATGCTACTAATAATATCAGATAGCAACAATAAACATGGTTTTTTTTGCTATATTCAAATTGGCAACCAAAATTGAAAGCTTATGTCAGCATTATAAATATAAAATGAGACTATTACATAGGATCATAAAGATGAAGTATGGAATGGAGAAACTGTTAAATAAGAACAATGTCCAACCTTATAAAGCAGCCATTATTTACATGTCACAAATGAGGAACCAACTAACAAACTTGATAGTTTCACAGGCTCACACAATGAGGGAGCCAAGGTTCAAATTTGATCTCTGTGGGACAAAAGTTTCTTTTCCAGAAAGACGCACTCTTCCAGGAGTGATTCTGATTCTGAAGTTCAGGATAACCTCAGGCTTAGCCCACAATACCCTGTAGTCTCCTTTACTTGTTTTTACTCTAAAAATGAACAAAAACAAAGCAAATAAACACAAAACACCAAAATAATAAATATGATCTGGCTTGGGCTGGGGGAGGGAGGGGACTCCATGGGGTTGGGTGATGGTCTCATGTAGGAGGACAGCAGCTCCGGCCAGTCAGGAAAGGAACAGGAACACGCTGGAGAAACTGAGGAAGGAGCACCACAGGTGTGTGTCTAGTGGGTCCGTGTTAACATCCCTGGGGGAGAAGGGCGCTAAAGGAGAGGGAGGCCATGCCGCTGGACTAGCGAGTCTCGCTCCCGAATAAGAAGTCACTCAGCCAGGGGACAAATAGAAAAAGGAAAAGGTCAAATTTTTTAAAAAATGTAAATCATCGTCTATGTAGATGCTAGGGACTATGCTAGATAAGATTCAGTGTAATTATGAACAAAATGGTACCTGCCACTTCCTATCTTCTGGGAAATGTTAAAGAAAGCCTTGAGTGAATAATTGAATTAACCCCCAGAAGAAAGAAAGACCTATACAGAAATTTATCAGATGAAAAAAACTGAAAGGTAGAAGCACCCTCCCTTAAGAGCCTATAATTTAACACCACTTGACAAATTACCCCCAAAGCCAGTGACTTCAAACTGTAAGAATTCATTGTCTCGTTTCTTTTTGAAGGATATACTTGTTTACATTTACATGTGTCTGTGTGAGTATATGCACATAAGTGCTGGTGTGTACAACTGTGTTCACCAGTGGAAGTCACAAGAGGGTCTCAGCTGTCCTCTGTCATTCATAGTTTTATTTGAGACAGAATCGCTTCCCAAATCTGGGGTTCTCAGTTTCTTAGCTAGGCCGACAAGCCACAGCCATCCTCCTGTCTCTGCCACCCACAGAGCTGGAGTTACAGGTGTGTGCAAGACACCCAGCTTATACATGGGTGCTGGGGTACAAACGCAAGTCCTCAGGGTTGTACAGAAAGCAACCCTAACCATTGAGCTATCTCTCTAGCCCCTTAGTATCTTATTTCTGTAGGTAAGGAAACTGTTGAGTTTAGCTGGGTGTCTGTGGTTCAGGATCACCTATGAGCTTGGTGTGAGGATGTCCATGAGGTAACAGTCTCAGCTAGAGGCTCAGCTGAGAGAGACTGGGCTGCCGCCTTGCTCGAATGAGCAGTTATATTAACAGGTTAATAGTCTCATGAGCTGTTAATGGAGAGCCTGTGGCTGTTGGCCAGAGGCATCCATCCCTCAATTCCATGCTGCATGGGCCTCTTCAGAAAAGAGCTCACACTGTCTGCTGGCTTCCCTCAGGACAAGTAGAGAAAGGATGCCAAGATATAATCTAAGACAGAAGCCACAGTCCTTAGGTAACCTAAAAGTGACGTCTCACAGCTTTCTTTATATTCTCTTCATTCCAAATGAGCCAGTAAGTCCAACCTGCATGAAAGGTAAGTAAGACATCAAGATGTGATTATTAGGAAAGTGGGGTCCTGAGGCTGTCAACAGCTTCTGTATTTGTTACTTTTCTATTGCTGTGATAAAATACCAGGACCAAAGCAGTTTATAAAGGAAAAAGTTTAGTTGTGCTTATACTTCCAGAGGGTTAGAGTTCATGATGGTGGAGCAGGGGCATGGAGCTGAATGGCTGGAGCAGCAGCTGTAGGCTCAGCTCTTGATTCAGAAGCAAGAGGCAAAAAGAGGCACTTGGGAATGGGGCCAGTCTTTTGAAGCCTCAAAGCCCGCCCCCAGTGACATATCTTCTTCAACTAGACCACACCTCCTAATCCTTCTCAAACAGTTCCACCAACTAGAAACCAAGTATTCAAATATATGAGTCTACACTTATATCTTCTAACCCCACCCTCTAGAAGTGATGTTAGCAAAACTAAAAGTGAAGAGTGGATTTATTTATAGATAAGAGAGCTAAGTAGAGCTCATCTCATCTTGCTCCTAGTTGTGAAAGGAAGTCACTTTTAAGACTGGTTTCATTTTTTAAAATGTGGACTTCTGTTACTGGGGAGATCACCCAGCAGTGAAGAGCAATTGTTGTTCTTCCAGATGACCTGGGTCAATTCCCAGAACCCAAATGCCAGCTCACAACTGTCTATAACTCCAGTTCCAGGAGATCTGATGCCTCTTTTGACCCCTCCAAGGACTTTTACTCACACACAGGGCACAAACATACATTCAGTCACACACACACACACACACACACACACACACACACACACACACACATAAAATAAAATATTAAAAATAAAACAAGATATGAAATTCTGAAAGATATTAGGTTAGTATGTACATAGTAATGAATCATTACTAGAAGGGAGAAAGTATTGTTCATAAAATAAAGCTAATGAAAAATATGTGGGGGGGGGCATTTTCCTTTCGTGGGAGGGACAAGTAGACTGAGTTTTTTCCATCAGAAGTTACCAAAATATCACCTCAAGTTAAATAATGAGAACTGAAGTATAAGTAAATAACTGAGGTTGTTTCTCTGGTTAAACAAGCCAATGTCCAAAATATGCTTATAAAATAGGAAATGAGCCAATGAAAGTGATAGGATTTATGAGCAGAAAGAATGTGAGCTATAAATAAAGTCATATAAAATGAAAAGTTCTGTGTGTTTGTAACCATGTTCTGTAAATACTTTAAGTTCCTCAGATTCTGGAGAATTTAAAGCTGTAATTACTTGGAGAAAAAAACTCCCATTAGAATGAAGATAAATTAGTGTTCTCCCAAGGAAGCTAATTAAGGGGAGGAAAGTTCTATTCTCTTTCAAGAGGCCAAAGAGTGAGTGGAATTTGTTTTTAACTGTAGAAAGGGTAAGAAGGAGGCTGAAGCCTCTGAAAGGCAGACTGGGCCTTCCTCAGTGTAGTGCCTGAGGAAGTGATAACAATAGCATAATACAGAACAGTGAGAAGGTGCAGTAACTCAGAAGACAGAGAATGGAAAACAGAACTACTGGAAATGTAAATATGAACAAGACTCCAAAAAGTTCTTATTGGGGAAAAGACACACACATTAAAAACTGGAACACTGGAAACAGAAGAGAGCAGGAAGTTAATGTTAGCAAGTAACACATTGTTATTAAAGCCAAAGTCAAACAGGTCGTGTATTTTCGGGACCAGTGGTGTGCTCATGTGAGTTCCACATGAGATCTGTCAAGATAGCATGGCCCAGTGTAAGAGCCTCGTTATGATCTTGTGATCTAGAGGAAGAGTATAATTTTTAAAAAGTACGTCCAAAGGAAATAGAGAGTTCAATCTTTTTGTTGTTTTAAGACCATAGACAATCAAGGAAGAGGAGCAGAAGTTTCCAATTCTGCAGTTCTTGTAGCCCATCTATCGGTAGTTAAAAATGTTCAAAACTAGGAGGCAGAGCTCTTAGTTAAACATGGAATGGAGTGAGTGAGCTTATCTTTACTTCACTGCACTGCCATGAAATTGTCAGAAGTAAAAGTGAATAAATCCATGAGGACAAGGAAACAAGGGAAGAGTTGACACTTGATGAAAACGACAAAATTTTGGAAAATGAAAAGCAAATGCTTGAGAGATAATGGATTTGGCAAATTATGGAATATTGAAACCTAGTACCTATTGTGGGTGACGGGATCCCAAAAGAGAAACCTAATTACATGGTACAATATGGGAGGCTGGGGGGACTGGGGAGATGGCTCAGTGGTTAAGAGCACTG